GCAAGCTCCGCCTCCTGGGTTCACGCCATTCTCCTGCCTCAGCCTCCCGAGTAGCTGGGACTACAGGCGTCCGCCACTGCGCCCGGCTAAGTTTTTGTACTTTTTAGTAGAGATGGAGTTTCACTATGTGAGCCAGGATGGTCTCGATCTCCTGACCTCATGATCCCCCTGTCTCGGCCTCCCAAAGTGCTGGGATGAGAAGCGTGAGCCACCGCGCCCTGCCAATCTTTTTTTTTTTGAGACAGAGTCTTGCTTTGTAGCCCAGGCTGGAGTGCTGCAACCTCCCCCTCCTGGGTTCTAGCAATTCTCCTGTCTCAGCCTCCTGAGTAGCTGGGACTACAGATATACAACCACCATGCCTGGCTAATTTTTTGTATTTTTAGTAGAGACAGGGTTTCCCCATGTTGACCAGGCTGGTCTTGAACTCCTGACCTCAAGTGGTCCACCTGCCTCAGCCTCCCAAAGTGCTGGGATTACAGGTGTGAACCACTGCGCCTGGCCAACAATTCAATCTATGTAAGTGCACACATGGGAAAATTTTAGATGAAATATATAGATATTACCACTGGTCTCTGAGTTATAAGGTTATAAGATTATAGGCTGGGCATGGTAGCTCACACCTGTAATCCCAGCACTTTGGGAGGCTGAGGTGGTTGGATCACAAGATCAGGAGATTGAGACCATCCTAGCCATCGTGATGAAACCCTGTCTCTACCAAAAATACAAAAATTAGCCGGGCATGGGGATGCACGCCTGTAATCCCAGCTACTTGGGAGGCTGAAGCAGGAGAATTGCTTGAACCCTGGAGGCGGAGGTTGCATTGAGCCAAGATGGCACCACTGCACTCCAGTCTGGGGATATATCGAGACTCCATCTCAAACAAATAAAAAAAGATTATAAGATTATAGTTGTTTTCCTCCTTTTACGTCTTCTGTTTTCAAGTTGTCTGTAAGAAGCACCTGGAGTTATGCTTCTTGGACCCACTGTTCCTGCACAGTTTGCCTTGACAGACCGCCTGGGCACAGCCTGAGTGTTCTCAATTCATTTGCAGGGTTGGTAGCCCCCAAGGACAGAGACTGCTATGCTATTTAATGCCCCATTTTTGAGGTCCTATGGGGAATCTTTTCCTTCAAACTTACTACAGATAAAACTGTGCAACTCCCAGAATGCTTTCAGCCTTACAGCTGATACTGTTCTTGCTTTTCTTTGGCTCCCAGGAAACTCAAAGCAAATTTGTGCCCCGTCTTTGAAAGGACCTTCTTCCACCCTGCTTAGGGGCCATGTCAAACTTTCACTCACCTCCTCAAATCCTCTCCTCTGTTACCTCCCCTCAGTCTTGGCAGTCAACTTTAGCTCTGCTTTAGAGTCTGGGGGCTGCCACCAACCCTGAGCTCCACAGAGACAAAAGCCCTTCCCATCTTGCCCTATCTGGGAGTGCCGTCTCAGCTCTGTACCAGGCCTTGCCTGGACTTCTTGGAAGAGCTGTCCACACATGCTGGCTTCATGTTCTCATCTCCACTCTCTTCATCCGGCTACAACCTGGGTTCCCACCCTCACCCACTGCTGAAAGTGTCCCGAGTCAATCATTATGGAATCTAAAGATTGTGTTTCTGTTGTTATTAGATAACCTCTGTAGAACTGACCCAGAGGATGACTCCCTACATTCTGAAATTCTTTCCCCTTTGGTTTTGGTGGGTCATTCTCCCTCTATGCAAACAGCACTATCTTGGTCTCCCAGGCTCCTTTACCACCCACGTTCTTTGGGACCCCTCCCTCTGCTCTCTGTCTTCTCCCTCTGCACAAACCCTAGGGGTCAGGTGGACCTGGGTCATTGTCTTACTCTCTTTGTGCTGCTATCACAGAATACCCGAGGCTGGTAATTTATAAAGAACAGAGATTTATTTCTTTCAGTTCTGGAGGTTCAAGATCAAGGGGCCACATCTGGTGAGGGCCTTCGTGCTGTGTTATCCCGTGGTAGAAGATGGAAGGGAGAGAGGCTAGAGAGAGAGGGCGAAAGGACTGAAATTGCTTTTATAACCGACCCACCTCCAGATAACCACATTAATCCATTCATGAGGGTGGAGCCCTCTAACCCAGTCACCTCTTCTTAGTCCCCTACTTCCAACACTGTTGCACTGGGGATTAAGTTTCTAATATGTGAACTTTGGGGGACACATTCAGACCATAGCAATCATATTCCCATATGAGACCAATCACTGCTTCAGAATTGTGTCACTTCCTCCAGGGCCTTCACTGTACTCCAGACTCCCATATCCCTCCATCCCTCTGCCTCTGGCCTCAGCAGCCCTCGGGCTCTCATACCCATCCGTTCTGCTTTTCCTCCAGGACTCCCCATCTTGAAAACACAGCTTTCCACCTGGGCATCAGCCAGTCTCCTCTCTTACCCTCATCTCTACCACTGTGCACTCTTAGGAAGATGTAACTACTGTCTTTCCTGTGTCTCTTCCCTTTCCCACTGGCCACTGTCAAGTTCAGGCCCCACAACTTCCTGTCTGGGTTACTGTGCCTTCTGCCCAGCTTGCTGTCTGCCTTGCAGTTCTAATCCCCTCCAATGCATCTTGTACACTGCCACCAGGGATCTTTCTAGAACACCAGTGTCACAGTGTTCTACCCTGTTGAAAATGTCTCAGCACCAGTGCCTTTTCAACCCCCGGTCCAGTTTCAGAACCGCTCCCAGTCCTGGCACCAGGCGTCTCATAGCCTGGCTCCTGCCTGCTCCTTCACCACCTGTACCCGTTGCTTCCTCTGCACAGAAAGCCCTTGGAGCACCCTACATGCGTCAAGTGCTTCCACAGCCTGGGCACATGCTTTCCCCCTCTCTGAGGAGCTCTCAGCTTTCCCTTCATCCTGCAGTTATTTTCTTACATCCTATTTTGTTTTGACTCAGAAGGAATACGTGCATGTGTGTAACATGAGTATATTGTACGCTGCTGAGGATTGGGTTTCTGGTGAACCCATTTCCCAAACAGCGAACATTGTACCGACGAGTTATATTTCAGCCCTCGTCCTCATCATCCTCCCCCTTTTGAGAGTCCCCCATGTCTATTGTTTCCATCTTTATGTCCATGCGTACCCAGTGTTTAGCTCCCACTTGTAAGTGAGAACATGCAGTATTTGGTTTTCTGTTTTTGAGTTAGATCACTTAGGATAGCGCCTCCAGTTCCATCCATGTTGCTGCAAAGGTCACGATATCATTCTTTTTTTATGGCTGCATCATCCAGTTTTTGTTTTGTTTTGTTTTGTTTTTGAGACAGACTCTCACTCTATCGCCCAGGCAGGAGAGGAGTGGTGTGATCTTGGCTCACTGCAACCTCCGCCTCCCAGGTTCAAGAGATTCTCCTGCCTCAGCCTCTCAAGGGCCTGGGATTATAGATGCGCATCACCATGCCTGGCTAATTTTTGTATTTTTGGTACAGACAGGGTTTCACCACATTGGCCAGACTGGTCTCGAACTCCTGACCTCAGGTGATCCCCCCGCCTCGGCCTCCCAAAGTGTTGGGATTACAGGCGTGAACCACTGCGTTTGGCCATCCAGTTATTTTTACTCCTAACACTGTCCCAAGACCTGAAAGCGCAGATGAGATGCCCTCTCTGGGCTCCACACCCCCCTGGGATGCCTTGTCCCAGAATTCCTACCACACTGTTGTAAACATCTCTATATCTGTGAACACCTGGAGGGCAGGGAGTCTACGGCATCATCCTCGGCACCTGTAGGTGCTCAATAAATATTTTTTGAAGAGCTGACATGAAATTCTTTTCGAAAGGAAGGAGGAGTGTGAATGAATAAACAATCAGTAACTAGTATACTCCTGCAACTGTTTCCTGAATGCCTGGCAGTGTTCTAAGCACGTAATAGGAACCACTCATCAAACCTCCACAACAGTCCTTGAGGCGGGGACCATGACTATCTCCATGTGTTGTGTGAAGAAACGGAGCACAGAGAGGTTCAGTAACTTTACTCAAAGTCACACAGCCAATACGTGAAAGAGCTGGATTTGAATCCAAGCAGTCTGGCACTCAAGTCTGTGCTCTTCGTCACTCCACTAGACTGCCAGTCTGAAGAAGCACGAGGAAAGGTGAGAAAGACAAAGCAAACAGCAGGGCTCAGAGAGCTCCTTGTGAGTGGATGAGGCTCGTTTATCCATGCATGACGATCTTACCTGTGTGGAGGCTGCAGGGGAATGCCACAGGGCCTTTCCCTCTGCATCCTGGAGATGGGAGAACAGGCTGTCTCCAGATGGTAAAGGAGAGGCACCCGTGTGAGTCTGGGACCAGGCTCCTGGCTTGGAACCTCCTGGCCCATGTGAGCTCAGGCAAGAATGCTGACCTTTCAATCCTTACTTGCCTCTTCTATACAGCAGGATAACTATACTACCTACCACATAGATTGTGGAAAATAGAAGTGAGAGGAGGTGCTAGCCCTGGGGCAGATACAGGAAGCATTCACTAAATGGTACATGTTATTATTATAGTGGGAACTTTGGAGCCAGGGCAAGGGTGAAGACCCAGTTGTATGACAATGGAAGCTACATACTGCTGCTCTGACCTCACGGATAATTCCATTTTAACTTTAGAATTCCATATGCTTGCTGCTAACTCAGCAGAATCTTAGAGTTCTGTGGTTTATGTTTGCCCAGTAACTGCGTTGGTTGATATTAGTTGCTGTTGGCTGAGTGTAGGAGGTGAGAGCTGGAGGTAGTTGGTGTGTGGAGCGGCTGTCCAGAGTCTAGAGTTGTGGGTTCCAATCCTGGCTCAGCCACTTGCCACTTTGGTCCTCGGTTTCCTCATCTACGAGATAACAATGTATGCCTCATAAGACTATTATAGGGGTTAAATGAGAGTATGTAAAATTACCTGGATAGGGCCTCACTGACAGGTTAGTTGGTTTTTCTGTTCACTCTAAAATACGTTGACTCCAGATGGAATTTTAAAAAAAGAATAACAGCAATAATAATAATGTGAATTTTATTTTTTTCAAGCATTTCTGTTCAGGGAGAGAATTAGAGAAATTTCTCTCTTCTCCTTCTCCAAGAGCCATCTGGCTGGATAGCTTTTGGTGGATATTTCATGAGAGGTACCAGGTAAATACAAATCTGCTTGTTTCTCTGCCTTGCTTCAGTCATTTTGCTACAGAACCAATTCCATCCTCTTTGACATGGGCTACAAGCCTTTCTGATCCCATGGAGCACCCCACAGCCTCACCTGTCACCCGGTCCCCCCCCCCCACCCATGCCTCAGCCACACACCCTGTGCTTCAGCCATTGTGCAATGCCCTGCGGCTCCCCCAGGCTTTAGGAGCTGGTTACACGGCTGTCACAGGCAGGGTTGAGAGTAGACCTCAGGACTTCTGGGCCAGCGTTAGGGTGCTGTCTTCAACAGCGCTCTGCCTCTGTGTACGTGCTTTGTAAATCTCATCCCCAAAAATGAACACGTTATTTCATAAAGCAAACGAGGCTAAATATCTTGAGAATAAGATTGCTGGAAATGAAAGCAATACTGACTTAAAAATCCCAGCCCCTCAGTTGTTTCAGCAAGGGATTTTAGTAATTCCTTTTTCTTTTCTATTCCTGGCAGCCAAACAAGGAGCTCCAGAATAATCTGTTCGACCGGATAGCCCAGCACTACGCCTTACTTTTGTTTCGTGTACCCAAGTCCCACTATGAAGAGGCGATCTTAAAAGTGAGCATCAGCCACTGTCTAGAAAAAAAGTCACATTAGATTTCTATTCATTTCTGATGCCAAGAGAATGTCTTAAACATTCTTTACATAAGGGAGTAATTACTAAATCGTGATAATCCATACACTGACTTGCAATGTAGAAGTTACAAAAATACAGTAGAGCTATTTATACTGATTGGAAGATGCAATGATATATTTAAGTGAAAAAGCAATTTATACAACATATATATATATATATATATATGCGCCTATGAATAGAAAAAAAAACCCTGAAAAATATTTACCAAACTCTTAGCAATGCTTATCACTGGGAAGTGAAGTTATAAGAAACTTTCCTCTTTGGGCATGGTGGCTCACGCCTGCAATCCCAGCACTTTGGAAGGCCAAGGCTTGAGGATCACCTGAGGTCAGGAGTTCAAGACTAGCCTGGCCAACATGGCAAAACCCCGTCTCTAAATTGCAAAAATTAGCCAGGAGTGGTGGCGGGTGCCTGTAATCCCAGCTACTCGGGAGACTGAGGCAGGGTTCACGTGAACCCGGGAGGCAGAGGTTGCAGTGAGCCGAGATCGCGGCACTGCACTCCAGCCTGGGCAACAGAGCGAGACTCTGTCTCAAAAAAAAAAAGAAACTTTCTCTTTCCATTTTATTATTTATTTTGAGACAGAGTCTCGCTCTGTCACCCAGGCTGGAGTGCAGTAGCATGATCTCGACTTACTGCAACTTCCAATTCCTGGGTTCAAGCAATTCTCCTGCCTCAGCCTTCTGAATAGCTGGGATTACAGGTGCGTACCACCATACCCAGCTAATTTTTGTGTTTTTAGTAGAGATAGGGTTTCACCATGTTGGCCAGGCTGATCTCGAACTCCTGATTTCAAGTGATCTGCCTGCCTCGGCTTCCCAAAGTGCTGGGATTACAGGCATGAGCCACTGTGCCCAGCCTCCCTTTCCATATTATATTTTTCTGTAGTATTTAAATAAGCATATAATTTTAAATTTTAAAATGTGACTATACATATATACTTTTTATATGGGTATATATATATAGATGTATGTACTAAAAGGATTGCTAGAAGAAAATATAAGTGAATACTTACATGATTTAGGGATGAAGAAGGACTTCCTTTGTTTTTTTTCCTCTAGAAACAATGTCTGGCTTTGTTGCCAACGTGGTGCAATCATAACTCACTGTAGTCTCAAATTTCTGGGCCTGAGCTACCCCCCTACCTCAGCCTCCTGAGTAGCTAGGACTACAGGCATGCGCCACCACACCTAGCTAATCCTTTTTTTTTTTTTTTTGAGACAGAGTCTCTCTGTCGCCCAGGCTAGAGTGTAATGGCACAGTCTGGGCTCATTGCAACCTCCGCCTTCTTGGTTGAAGCGGTTCTCCTGCCTCAGCCTCCTCCCAGGTAACTGGGATTATAGGCATGCACCACCACACCCAGCTAATTTTTTCTTTTTGGTATTTTTAGTAGAGACAGGGTTTCACCATGTTGGCCAGGCTGGTCTCGAACTCCTGACCTTAGGTGATCCACCCGCCTCAGCCTCCCAAAGCGTTGGGATTACAGGCGTGAGCCACCGCGCCCAGCCCCATTTTACTTCTTAGATTGTGTAGATTAAAGAGTATGGCCAAGTGCAGTGGTACACACCTATATTCCCAGCTACTCAGAAGGCTGAGGCAACAGAATTAGAGGATCACTTCAGCCAGGAGTTCAAATCCAGCCTGGGCAACACAGTGAGAACCTTGTCTCTAAACAACAACGACAAAAACTGTATATAAAAAAAGAAAGTCCTTCCTCATCCCCAAATCACGTAAGCCAGGGTGGAAATGCTGAGAACGTTGCCTGAGCTCTGCTTGCTCCGCAGAGGCTGCCATCGCTTCTGAGCAAAGCCATGTACACCAGCTTCTGTTGCTGCTTCCCACAGTCCTGGTTCAACACACACGAATTCAAGTCTGACATCTGTAACACAATGAGCCTGTGGATTTCAGGTGAGCGGTGACTTTTTTCCACCGGGGAAAGCGATTCTGGAAAAATGTTTTCCACTGGTACCTAGGTATGTCATTGTTTGCTTTGACACCCTTCATCAAGGCATTCTCTCTTTTCTCTCCTTAACATTAAAGAGAGCAAAGTATGTATGTGGTTGGAGCCCCAAGGAATACAAATTTTCCTGCTTCCTCAAAACAGTTCTGAGACATCCCTTCCTAATCCCTTTTTTTTTTTTTTTCCCCCTGAGATGGAGTCTCTCTTTGTCACCCAGGCTGGAGTGCAATGGTGCGATCTCAGCTCACTGCAACCTCCGCCTCCCAGATTCAAGTGATTCTCCTGCCTCACCCGCCTGAGTAGCCGGGATTACAGGCATGCACCACCACGCCCAGCTAATTTTTGTATTTGTAGTAGAGATGGGGTTTCACCATATTGGTCAGACTGGTCTCAAACTCCTGACCTTGTGATCCACCCGCCTCAGCCTCCCAAAGTGCTAGGATTATAGGCATGAGCCACAGCGCCCGGCCCTTAGTCCCCTTTTTGTGCTCAGCTACATCTACAGGGAGTGAGGGGCCATATCCTAACAAGATAGCAAAGTTTCAGCATGGCCCTGTTAGTTAACCGTGTGCTGTGGGCTGATGCACGCAGGACTCAGGAACCCAAAAGCAGTATGTGAGTTTAGATCATCCCACCCTTCCACCCTCCATGTGACCCCCCACTGGGCAATCATGTGTCCCTCCCTCCAGCACACACAGGAGCAGCTTGATACCTGCTTTATCAACCACCTCCCAGTCCCCTCCCCTGATCTCAACCTTGACATTTTCTAAGTTCGTTAAAAGCTGCCGTGTATAGAAAGGTTCCTGTGTACTAGGCGCTGTGCTAAGTAAGCACTTTTCACATCTCCTATTGTGTTGTGGCTTCCTAAGATCACCCCCACGTTAGAAGATTTGCTGGAAGAACTCACGGGTCTCCGTACGTAAGTGTAGTCTCGCTATGATTTATTACAATAATGTAGTAAGGAAATGGAGCTGGATTATAAGGGAAAAAGGTAGAGTTTGGAGGAATCCATATGCAGACTTCCTTATGCCCCCTCCCTCCCATAAGGAGTCATACAGAGCCCACTCATCCCCCTACAACGAAAAGCTAGCAACATGTGTGTGTTGCTTCTGCCCAGGGAAGCCCATTAGAGCTGGAGTGCTCAAAGTTTTCACTGGGATAGTCACATAGACACCTCTGTCTGTCACGTACCACAATTCCAGGAAGGCAGGTGTTCAGCATAAGCCACGTTGTTTGTACCAACAGTATAGGCGCAACGAGCCGCTCTTCTTCCATTAGAGAGAGTTTTATATCAGTGGAATAAACTGTTTACTAGCCAGGTTCCCAGAGGCCAGCCAAGGCATCCTCGCAAGCAGGCCTTTCTAAGGATAGCAGTCTCAGGCCTGCTGTCTTAACTCTTTTCTGC